GGTGGTTCAAACCCACCAGCCACTCCTCGGAAGGAAGGTTGGGCAATCTACTTCCATAGTGATACCGCCTCGGAAACCCAAAGAGGGGTCACTATAAGTCAGGTCCAACTCGATGGCACACAACACCACCACAACAAAGTTCACTTGTTTTTAATTTAGAACTTGATTTTTGGTAAATTTACAGAGTTGTGCATCCATCACTGCAATTCAGTTTTAGAACATTTCTATCAGCCCAAAGAGCAGTGATGGTTCAGTGGTTAAGAGTTCAGCTGCTAACCAGTCAGTGATTTGAACCTACCACCCACTCTGCAGGAAAAAATGTGACAGTCTGTTTGCAGTCTTAGAAATCCTATGGGGCAGTTATGATGTGTCCTACAGGGTTGCTATGAGTCTAAATTGACAGCAATGGGTTTGGTTTTGTGGGTTTTTTTTTTTTTAAATCATAACAGAAAGACTAGTACTGCCCATTTGCAGCCAATCCCTGTCACTATCCCCTGCCCAGGCAACAGCTAATCTACTTCCTGATTATCTAGACCTTAGAGCTGGTTTTCAAAGTAACAAATTCTCTACATGATTTTACTTTGTTCACAACTGTTATGTCATATCCTCAATAAATGCAGCCAAACAAGGTCAAGGAAACTGAACTAACAACTGTTTTCATTCTTAAAAATATATATAAATTGGTATTTGTACAAATTGACCACATGCACTGTGGTAAATTAATTTCAATAAATTTCAAAAAGGTTATGTTCTTAGGCCATATGCAATTAAGATACATGTAAGAACCCTAAACATGTGGCAGTTTAAAATCTTAAATAGATTGTTATCAATTAAAAAGATTTTAAATAACTTGGAGTTTGGATTCATGCTTTAAATACCATGCAGAAGTGTAAACTATAAATACACCAAAGAAATTAAACAGAAGAATATAAAAGAGGAACCTAGCCTTTTCAAAACATCATAAAAGAATAACAAAAAATGTACAGTAGTACTTTCATCTATTAATCATTCAATCTGGGATATTAAAAATATTTAACAACAAGAACACTAAAATAATATATGGATAATACAAATAAACATTTCAAATATATTCTTTTTATTCTGTAAGTATGAATAATTAATATACTTTAAAACTACCAAGTGACATAAATTGTACTAAATCAGTCATCAAATTATTCTTAAAATTTCCAAGAAAAAAAAAGCCTGTATATGAATTAAAAAGGATTGCATGCTCCAGAAAGGTGGAATAAGTAGAAAAACAATTTTTCCCATTACTTAATACTCAATATTTTGATGTGTTATCTATTAACATCCTTTGCAGATGCCTTCTGCTCTCAGCCACTATAACTCAAATGTGAAAATAAATGAAGACCATTTGTGTTATACTGGGTTCTCTAGACAAACAAAAAACAGCAAAGCTTATATATATATAGAGAGAGAGAGAGAAATTAATCTTAGGAAAATAGCTCACAAACGTATAGAAGCCGGCAAATCCAAAGTCCCTGGATCAGACGTCAAACTGGAGGCTTTTCCTGGCTCCGGCAACCACAGGAGCCAAGAAGCTCAAGGCTGGCAGACAGTGGCTGTTGACTCCAACGAATGACGAATCCAAGATCTCCAGGCTGAATGGTGGACTGTTCACTCACCGACAGTTGTAGGCAGCACAGCAGAATCCCAATCCACAGAAGAATGTCTCTCTTCCCAGGATGTCCCTGGATATGCTGGAAGCAGGCCACACCCCTAGGGAAACTCCCCTTCAACAGATTGGCCACTCAGAACACAGTCATCCTATCCCATCGTAGGAACGACCACGCAGAACTGGGGTCCAGCCAAGTTAACACACAGCTCCAACTATCACATGATCCTACCAACAACTTTGTTGGTATGCATCAGGGTCATATCCTTTCACCATACTTATTCAATCTGTGTGCTGAGCAAATAATGCAAGAAATTGGACTATATGAAGAAGAACGTGGCAGGAGTGGAGGAAGTCACATTAACAACCTGTGATACACAGATGACACAACTTTGCTTGCTGAAAGTGAATATAACTTGAAGTATTTACTGGTAAAGATTAAAGACTACAGCCTATTAGTATGAAATACACCTCAAATAAAGTTTAAAAAAAAACAAAACCTCACAACTGGACCAATAAATAAACAACATCATGATAAACCAAGAAAAGACTGAAGTGGTCAGGGATTTCATTTTACTTGGATCCATAATTAAGACCCATGAAAGCGACAGTCAAGAAATCAAAAATAAATTGTCTTGGGCAAATCTAGTGCAAAGGACCTATTTAATGTTAAAAAGCAAGTATGTCATTTTGAGGACTAAGGTTTGCCTGACCCAAGCCATAGTATGGTTTCTCATATGCATACAAAAGTTGGACAATGAATAATTAAGACCAAAGCCCAGAAGAAGCCAGGGATCATATCCCCAATCCAGGTAAGGGGAGGGAGGGAGAGAACCCACCCAGGCAGGAAGCCTCCTAAAGGACTGACAGCTGGAACAGGTAGGGAAAGGCCAGGAAGTAGGCGGAGAGGTTTGGAACAGCTAAGGGAGACAAACTTGGCTATCAGT